GTTCCTAGGAGGATCCTGTGTGCCTGCATGTGTGTGTGTGTGTGTGCGTGTGTGTGTGTGCAATGTGTGCGTGTCCATGTGTGTGCATGCGGTAGGGATACACAGTCCGCTGCATGGTCTCTCTCATGCACAGTCTGATCCAGGTTCATAGCTTCCCCCCGGAGTCCATGCTGCCGGCTCTTCCTCCTAGGCCTTCTCGCCAATCGTCATCTCTCTTGAGTGGGATGCTCTAAGCTTGGCTCTCCCCTTCAGTGGGGGTCTCCCCATGCACCTCACCCCCTTGCACTCTGGATGAAGGAAGCTTGAGCCCTGCCACCCCGTCACTCTGCCCTGCCCTCTCTTTTCAGCTCCTTTTCCTCTGGCTCAGAGCACCATCAAAGTGGATCGGCAAATCCACTGTTGCTTCAGCAGACACTGGAAAAGGAGCCAGCCTCCTCCTGCAGGCACTCGGTCTCTAGGAGTCACTTTGCAGTGCCTTGCTTGGCTGGGTGGCAGTGGGGGGTTGTGAGGTCAGGGGGAGTTTCCGTAACAGTCTCCCCGAGGCTGACAACTCCTCTCGATCCTCTCCCTCCACGTCAGTGGAGCGTATAGACCCCAAAGAGATGGTACGGCTGGGGAGCAGGCTGGGCTTGGCTGCCTTGTAATCAGTCTTGAGAAGTACCTGACCCCAAAGGTCCATTTGTTATTATCGAGTGTCTCTTCTGTGCCCAGCGCTGTGTGGCTACTGCTGACAGCCATGAAGAAACGGCAGTAGTCTTCAGGGGAAACCGTTTTCATGAGAGAAACGGATAAAAACAGATAAGTATTCATCAGGGCTAACCATTGGAAAGCCAAGTAAAGCAGGGTGAGGAGCTGGAGAGAGACCAAAGGGAGAGGCTGTTTTCACAGGGAGGTCAGGGAAACCAGTGGCTGCGTTTCAAATTCACCTTTCCCCAACATGGAGCCTAGCAGACGATTCCGGGCCATGGGAAATCCACGCTGACATCGTGCAAGCCTAGTTAAGGCAAGGGTTGGGTTTCAAAGTCTAGGCTCTTTGCTGGTTGCACGTAGTTGCGTATGTCAAGACTCACTTCTCAAGCCTCTGGGCCCATGTCTGATCCGTTCTGCATTCCCAGAAGCCGTGTCTGGTGACTGAAGACTTGGTTACACTAGTGACCAAAGACACTGCAGGCTCTTGATGCTGCTTGTTCAGCATGGAGGAGCCTCCAGGCGAAGGGACATCAAGCCTCAGCATATCCCAGGCCAGCTCTGTGGCTTGAGGCTTCAGGCAGAGCTCAGCCACTTCCCAGTCTTGCTCGTGGGGAACCAGAGATAGTCAGAACTCAGTCAAAAGCCCCACATGCCTCTCTGGCTGGAGAACTCAGGCCTGAAGGTTTGGGCCTTGAAAGGAGCCCTTGACCACAGTGACCACTTCTCTCACTGTGGCTCAAACCCCTGTTCCAGACACGGCGGGGAACGGGGTGGGCTGGCCAGCTGGGAAGTATAAGGCCTGCTCCAGATGCCAGTCAGTGGCTCCTGGGCTCTTTCAGGGCCATATCCAGGGGTTGTCACCAGGAACGGACCAGGAGCACTGTGAGTGAATCTCTCACCATGGCTACCACACATGGGTGGGCCCTGGGCTCCCTCCTGCCTGCCCTTCTGCTGGGATTCACAGGTGAGTCCTGATTCCTGCCCAGAGAGACCCTCGGGGCCGGCATGGAGATCCCCAGGAATGACCATATCCAGCCACTGTGTCTTCCTGAAGGGAGACTGAGGCTCAGAGGATGTGACCGAGCCGTTTTCCTGCCAGACAGGAGCTGGTTTTCATCTTTTCTTCAATGTAGATCTTGGGGGCAAAGGGATTTGGTGGGAGCTTGAGGACCAGAGGAGGAAGTAACCTCAGGGTGAGGGGCTCAGGGGAGGTCAGGCAGTAAAAGAGGAGCCCACCTCCCAGTGTTCCTGACATCAACTCTAGTCTGGGTGTCTACCTGTTCTAGGTTAGAGAGGGTGTAAGGTGAGAAAGACGAGAGAGAGAGAGGGAGAGAAGAAAAAAGAGAGAGAGAGAAGTTGCCTGAGTGATAGAGCCTCCAGCATTAGAGGCATGAAAGAGTTCTAGACCCAAAGTCGGAAGGTCTCCTCACCCTCCCTCCTTAGCCACTTATAGGCTGTGTGACCTTGAACAAGTCACAAGACCTTTCTGAGTCTCTGTTTCCTCTTCTGGAAAGTGAGGACCAAAATACCAGCCTGCCATGGTTGGGATGTGGAGGGAAAGGAGCACACACCGCTGAAGGTGTTTTGGGGCCACACAGTGCTGTGTGCGGTGGGTGACGAAGGCTGTGTGCTAAGAGAACAAGGTCCCGTGGCCTCTGCGCTGCCCGCCACCACCTGCCATCCTGCTTGTCATTGCTTGGTTATTTGCCTTCTTCCCCCGCGACCTGGCCAGATGCTTCTCGAGGGTAGGAGTCCTGTCTGACCTATCTCTGTGGCCTCAGCACCCAACTCTTGACCTGGTGCAGGGCAGGGGCTCAGGGAATGCTGTGAAGACTTGGAGAGGTTCCTGCTCCAGATCTCTGCAGGGCTGTCCTTAGGAGAAGGGGTGAGTCTCATCCTGCAGTTTTCCCGGGAAAATTCTGGGAGCTAGATCTCAGGTTATATCCCAGAAGCAGGAAATATTTTGTCATAGTCCTAGCTTCGTGTGGAGAGAGCTCCCTGTCACTGGAGGTAAGCAAGCAGATGCCGGGTGTCTAGCGAGCTGTTGATGGGAGGGTCCTGAGCAGATGGGGCAGCCAGCCCTGCTGGGGTGCTTCTTAACTTCACACTCAAGTCCTGATAAACTGACATCCACAGAGGAAATCCTGATTCATCACCTTTCCCTTCCTGTCCCACCTCAGTCTTCCTCCAGTTCTTCGCGTCTCAGAAAGTAGAGCTACCACCCACACCGCTGCTCTAGAGAAAACCTGGGAATTGTTGATCTGTAATTCATTCTGCGCCTCACCCCTGATCCTGTCCATCACTGAGTCATGGGGGCTGTAGCTTCCAAATGTGTCTCGAGTCACCCTAGTCCAGGCCACCATCACCTCGGCCTGCAGCCTCGGACCAGCTTCCCCTCTGGTCTCCCTGCCTCCATTCCTGCCACCCTCCTTCTCATTCTTCACACAGCGACCCAGTTATTCTCTAAAAAAATGGACATCAGACCACTTTGCCGCTCTGTTAAAGTCCCTACCGGCTTTCCGTCACTCTTAGAATAGAATCAAGATCATCACCATGGCCCACAGGCTCTTCTCAGTCTGGACCTTTTTGCCATGACACGAGGGTACTACAGACTTCTCGGGTTCTCAAGCCCACTCAGCTCTTCCTGCTCGAGGGCCTTCTCTCCTGCTGTCCCTGTTGTCTGGAATGTGCTTCCTCTGTCCCTTCCCACGGCCAGCTTCTATTCATTCCTGTTTCAGCTCAGTGATCACCCCCTCAAGGAATTTTTCCCCAGCTGCCCTTCTAGAATAAGTCCTCTCCATAGTCTTCATCTGTGCACTCCTCAGGTGAGGGCATTGGACCCAGCGGAAATCACATTTGCATTTGCTTGTTGTTTTGTGATCACATGCCTATATGCTGCCTGAGGACAGACCCAGACATGGCACATAGTAGGTCCCCAGGGTCTGACACACCTCTGGTGCCGCGTGTGTCCCACCCTCAGTGTGCAGTCACAGTCGCTCTCTTTCCTTAGCTGGCCAGCCCGTCATCTCTCTGACTGGTCCATCTCAGAGGGCAACCCCTGGAGACTTGGTGCCTTTCAACTGTACTGCTGGTCCCTTCGACTCCCAGCACTTCTCCTGGGACTTCAATGTTACCTGGTTGAAGGACAGTGATGAACATCCAGCCTCAGCCCAGCGCCTGGTGCCTGACAGTGAAGGCAATGACTTAATCACCAGCAAGGCATGGGTGACACTGGCCCGACAGGATGTCTCATCGGAGATCACCTGCAAAGTCACCCACAGGGCCCTGGCAGAGCCCCTGCAAAAAACCATGAAGCTCTCCCAAGTACTCCGAGGTGAACGGGCAGTCGGGTGGGGTGGACATTCGCCTTGGGAGCATCAGCTTTCAGGGGTTTTGCCCAAAGTCCCATCTCATGAATGGGGAAATAAAATTCCTCACTGATTTCTGATCATGTGTATAGTGGTTATAAATGCAGGTTCTGGGGACTCACTGATGGTCTGGGCTTAATCCTAGCTGCGCCACTTTACAACTTGTGGGATCTTGCAAGTTGCTTGACTATTTGGTGCCAGTTTCTTTATATAATGGGAATAAAATGAAGACCTATTTCATAGGTGTCCTGTGAAGATTAAATGAGTTATTCCTTGTAAAACATGCATATCAGTGTCTGGCATGCAGTAACTTACTTACGAATGTGTGATCTTGTTATTATCTGGTCCCAGACTCTCTTTCTAAACATCTTTGTTCTATTAATGTCATTGTTATGGTTTTTTTTAATTTAAAATGTTTATTACTCATTTAATAATAATGAATATCCACTGCATGCCAGACACGGTGCTCAGTGCTGGGGATACAGCAATGAGCAAAATAAAGTCCCTGTCCTCATGGGCATCGCCTTTTACTAATTCTCAAAATTATATTTTATGATATGAAATATTTCACAAATACAGAATATAGCAGACACCCATGGACCCTTACCCATATTTAATGAATATTAACATTTAGCCCTTTTTGCTTTAGATCACACATACAAGAAAAAATTATTTCTTTAAAAGAAGGCAAGGGACCTTGAGGCTGGTCCCTGGGAGAAGGAAGGGGCCGACCTCACCAGACCCACTTCCTGTTCCTCTGTCTAGTTGTCCCCACCCTGGAGATCACCACCGAACACTCTGGGACCAGTGTACGCGCACAAGACAGAGTGAATCTCACCTGCCACGTCCGTCACTTCTATCCCCACCACCTGCAACTCACCTGGATGCAGAACAGGCGCATGATCCAGACCCTGGTGTCCCCTCAGGCCACCAGAAATCCAGATGGGACATACTCTCTGGAGCACACGTGGCAGGCAGAGGTCACGCCGGATGAGCATGAGTTTGCTTGCTGGGTGGTCCACGATGAGCAGCCCCCGCTCAAGACCAACATTACCCTGCAAGCCCAGGAGCACAGGCAGGGGAAAGGTGGGTGCAGCCTCTGGGCATCCCCTGAGGGCAGCACGGCTGGGGAGGGTCAGAGACTCAGGGTGGCATTGAATGAAGGTGAGGGAAGAAAGGATACCTTCACTGGTGACAAAACTCTCATCCATTTGTCTCCAAACTCCACTCCTCACTCCTTCCTCCACACCCTTCCCAAAAAGAAGGGGTGGCTCTCCCCTTCCCTAATTCCCTGCATTTTGATGTTGAAGGTTCTCCACCTTAACACTTGACTGCAAGAAACGGCAAAGATTAAGGACTGTTGAGCACCAAAGTCCCTTCTAGAAGGGCTATTAATCAAGACTGGTGCAGTTGGAAGTTTCTGGATGGCGGCTTTAAAGAGAGGCCAGAATTCTGGACTCAGCTGGAAAAGAGTCCATGCCAGGCCTTCCGTGAGGTCTGGACAGGCGCTTACAAGGGGTCAGAGAGGCTCTTCCCTAGGGTCAATGCAGGCTCTTCCATGGAGTCAAGGCAGCTCCTTCTCCTCCTCCGCCCTTCCTTTTCCTCCTTGCTTTTCTTCTCCTTCCCTCCTCTTCCTTTTCCTCGTCCTCTTCACTTTCTCCCCTTTTTGAGTGTTTTTATATTATCTTTTTTATGACTTGATTTAGGTTCGGGGGTCCATGTGCACATTTCCATACGGGCTAATTGTGTTTTGGGGGAGTTTGGTGTGCCACCTCTGTTATTTTTTGACTTTTTAACAATGGCTGTTCTGGCTGGTGTGGGAGGGTACTCATTTATGGTGTTGTTTGGTTTTTTTGCTTGTTAATTTATTCAAGTTCCTTACAGATTCTGGATCTTAGCCCTTTGTCGGATGCATAGTTTGCGAAGATTTTCTCCCATTTCGTGGGTTGTCTGTGGGTTGGCTTTGCTGAGAGTGTCTTTGGCTGGCCTTGCCTTCTGGAATCTCTCTCTCTCTCTCTCTCTCTCTCTCTCTCTCTCTCTGTCTGTGTGTGTGTGTGTGTGTGTGTGTGTGTGTGTGTGTGTGTGTCCTCACAGGATTTTCTCCACAAGAGGGAGCTGTCTGTCTACCGGCAGTTCAGCCCCAAAGAGCGTGGTCTGCTTTCCTTTGGTCCAACTTGGATCAGCTTGGGAGAATGAGTTACTGGCCCAGAGGGGGCCGGCCGGGTGGTGGGGACGGACAGGGTCCGAGAGGGTGGGTGGGGGTACCTAGAATTGGCCAGGCCTGGCAAGCTAGGAGTAAGTCAGCATATAGACTCACAGCTCTCCAGATCCACGTGAAGCGGGGAAGGACAGTCCCGTGCGGGCACTGAGGGTGTATGCCTTTGTGCAGGAGTGTTACACGCAGGCCCCTGCCAGAGCAAGGGTGCAAGGTACACAGGTGCCGGACCCCCAACAATACCCATCTGCAGTCACATCAGGGTGCTCCAGCCCCTGTTCTCTCTCTCCCTGACACAACTGGCCTCTATCTGGCTGCTGTAAGAATTCTCATTCCCAAGGGGAATGATCCCACTCAACTTTCAATTTCTCCATGCTTTTTTTTTTTTTTTTTTTTTTTTTGTATTTTTGTTATCCAGTAGAAATAAGAAAAACACTCACCTAGCAGGATGTACACGTTCAGCTGAAAACCTCCAAAGTGGTCCTTTCTGATCAGAAACAAGTTACAGTATTTCTTTATTGACTCGTGCTGAGATTTTCTTTCTTTTTTTTTTTTTTTTTTGAGACGGAGTTTCGCTCTTGTTACCCAGGCTGGAGTGCAATGGCGCGATCTTGGCTCACTGCAACCTCTGCCTCCTGGGTTCAGGCAATTCTCCTGCCTCAGCCTCCTGAGTAGCTGGGATTACAGGCACGTGCCACCATGCCCAGCTACTTTTTTGTATTTTTAGCAGAGTCGGGGTTTCACCATGTTGACCAGGATGGTCTCGATCTCTTGACCTCGTGATCCACCCGCCTCGACCTCCCAAAGTGCTGGGATTACAGGCGTGAGCCACCTTCTCTTACTGTCCTCTTTTGCCTGCATGCTGTATATCTGGCCCACTGCTGCAAGGTTAACCCCCTGGGAGCATCCCTTTGATTATACAGCTCCCCTATCTGCAGGGGGAAGGGCAGCCCCTTCCTTTTCTGGCATTTAGGCTCCTTTCTGTTTGGTGTTAACAAAGCGGTTCAGCTGTCCTTCCCTAACCTGGCCCGTAAAAGCCTTCATCAGCAACTCCAGCTCTTATGTTCTCCCCACGCTACGTCTCCGTTCCTACCGGCTGACACCCACTGAGCATATACTGCACACTAGGCATCCTCCAATATGTTATCTGATCCTACAACAGAGCCCAGAGCTAGCACAGGGAGCCCGCTCTCAGAGGTCCCAAACAGCAGAGCTGGGGTTAAAATGCAGGCACGTCTGTTCAAAAATTCCATGTGTTTTTCTGCATTTTTCTTTCCTCTCCTGCCTGAGAATGCAAAGCTTAGTGTTATCTCAAGTCTCTGCTCAAATCTCAATTTTAAATGCTCTATTCTTGATATTTATTTCTTCCTGGATTGCATAGTCTTATCTGGCCATACCATTTAGTTCTCACAACTGGTACTTAAACCACAAGGGCATTCTGAGAATCCTCCGACCTGGGGTTTTATTCTGTTTACAGCAGTCTTCCACAATTAGACACTCACATCCTTGAAGCAGGGACTGGCTCTTATGTTTCAAGGTGGCCAAACTTTGGAGTCAAACAGATCAGTGTCCCCAGCCCTGTGACCTAAGACAAAACAACTCCTTTTCTTTTTTTGAGATGGAGTTTTGCTCTTGTTGCCCAGGCTGGAGTGCAGTGGTGTGATTTCAGCCCACTGCAATCTCTGCCGCCCAGGTTCAAGTGATTCTCCTGCCTCAGCCTCCCAAGTAGCTGGGATTACAGGCGTGTACCACCACTCCCGGCTAATTTTGTATTTTTAGTAGAGACGGGTTTTCACCATGTTGGTCTGTCTGGTCTCTAACTCCTGACTTCAGGTGATCCACTTGCCTCAGCTTCCCATAGTGCTGGGATTACAGACATGAGCCACTGTGCCCAACTGCAACTCTTTTTCTGGGTCAACTTCCCCATCGGTGCAATGACGATTGTTACACTCACCTCAAAGAGCCCTGCTTAGGATTCCTTTCCTGGGCTCCTGCCTGGCATCTGGACAGTGCAAGTTCTGTGCAGTGACTGCATGCAGTCGCCATAGTGTCTAGTCAGAGCTGAGCTGCAAGTAGGACAATATTGAAGGTCATTGATGAATATAGAGCCGACTGTGCCGAAGGAGAGACAGCTGTGATGTGACAGAAAAAGGCCTTGACTTGGAGTCGGAACCCCTGGGTCACGATGTCAGTTCTGTTCACTGTGAGGCCCTTGGATGAGTCAGTAACCCTCTCTGAGCCTTTTTAAAAAAAATCTGTTAATATTTAAAATATGATTAAGAATAATTCCCTGGAAGGTCACTGTGAGCCTGTGAGGCTGATAGTTACCATTTAGATGGTGATTACTGTGTACCACATATCTACACTAGTGACATCCCTTAATTTATTAATTAACTCTGAAAGAAATGCAAATCAAAACCACAGTGAGATACCACCTCACACCAGTCAGAATGGCGAGTATTAAAAAGTCAAGAAATTAAAGAGGCTGGCAAGGCTGTGGAGAAACAGGAATGCTTTTACATTGCTGGTGGGAATGTAAATTCGTTCAACCATTGTGGAAAACAGCGTGGCAGTTCCTCAAGGAGCTGGAACCAAAACTATCATTTGACCCAGCAATCCCATTACTTGATACATACCCAAAGGAATGTAAATCATTCTATTACAAAGATACAGACATGGGTATGTTCATTGCAGCACTACTCTCAATAGCAAAGCAGTAAAATTAATTCCTTGACACGGAATCAACACAAATGCCCATCATGAATATACTGGATAAATAAAATGTGGTACATATACACCGTGGAATACTATGCAGCCGTAAAAAGGAATGAGGTGGTGTGCTTTGCAGGGACATGGATAAAGCTGGAAGCCATTATCCTCAGCAGCTAATGCAGGAAGAGAAAATGAAACCTGTTCTCACTCATCAGTGGGAGCCGCACAGGAAGGACACAGGGACGCAGGGAGGAGAACAACACACACCAAGGCCTGTTGCAGTGTGCGAGGGGAACGAGAGCATCGGGACCAATAGGAATGCATGCGGGGCTTACTACCTAGGTGACGGTCTGACAGGTGCAGCAAACCACTATGGCACACGTTTACCTATGCAACAAACCTGCACATTCTGCGAGCGTATCCCAGAACTTAAAGTAAAAAAGAAAAGAAAAATGTACTTCATCAAACCTAATGGCTAAATAAAAAAGGGAAGTCTGAATTTAATAATGCTCCAGATATAAAAATGGGATGAACAATTATTATACAATTTAAACCATTTTTCTATTTAAAAAAAATCATTCCCATTTTACAGATGAGGAAACTGAGGTTTAGAGAGTTAAGTTGCTTGAGCTCCAGTGGAGAGTTGGAAATGTAAACTTGGGTTGAGTGAGATCCCAAAGTCTATGCTCCTAATCTCTTCTCTATGGTTCTAACCTCTTCTCCATGGCCCGGCCTCTGAGAAGGGAGGTTCTCTTCCATTTTCAAACACTGAGGGTAGGGCTAGGTGACAGTCAGGGGCACAGACCGTGGAGACTGACTGCCTGTAAGATCCCTAGCTCTGCCACTGACTAGTGGATCTTCGACAAATTATTTGTCCTGCCTGGGCCTCTGTTTCCTCATCTGTGAAATGGGGATAGTAACAGCTCCCACTTCTGAGGGCTGCTGTGAGAACTCCGTGAATTAGGGAAGAGTCTGTAGGCAGGGTGAGTGCCATGTGGGTGTTCACTATGCAGTGTCCATAGGAGTCGAAACTGCTGTTGCCCATTGCTACAGGGTCATTGTCTGGCCTCTGATATCAGATTCAGAAACTGGTTCCTATCAGAACAAAACCTTTCAATCTTATAAAAGAGGAAGCAATAGGCTTCTTGGCAGATGCTGTGGATTTGTTTATGCTGGGATTCAGGCACCTCTGTGCTCTCTCATGGGAGGGGTCTATCCTTGCAGGCAGGAGTGCCCAGCCTCAGCCTCACAAGTTGCAAGGCCCCCTTCAGCGATCTGAACCTGGCACCAGGATCCGATTGACCTACACATCCTCTGGCTTCTCGACAAACCAGGTTACTGTGACCTGGCTTAAAAACAAACACGAGCTCCCGAAGCCCCAGACCAGCGTCCGCCGCAGTGGACACACCTACAATGTGACCAGCAGTGTGCTCGTCCTGCTGACAGATGATGATGTGCTCTCCCATGTCGTTTGCTATGTCGAGCACAAGTTGATGCCGTTTTTCCAGAAAACCATTGGCCTGGACCAGTACCTCCGGGGTAAGATCTTTCTCTCTGCTAAGCTGAGATAGTACAGAGTTGGGGTGGGGACTTCACTGAGCCTCAGTTTCCTCAATGAGAAATGAGGAAGAACCCCCAATGATAAGCAAGCACATCCCTCATTCGACTTAGGCAAGAATGTAGTGAAATAACACCTGTGAAGTGCTTACTTAACACAGTGCCTTGCTCATACTAACTGCTCAGAAGTGGCCACTGTTGTTAATTATTATTATTATTATTCACAACACTTCTCAGAACTCACTTCTTTCATCTGTAGACCGGTGACAGATACCTTCCTGGAATCTGGACATCTTCCAGATTGATGACAGATGCTAGTGATCCTGTGCAGAAATAGGAACGCTTTTACACTGTTGGTGGGAGTGTAAATTAGTTCAACCCTTGTGGAAGACAGTGTTGCCATTCTTCAAGAATCTAGAACCAGAAATACCATTTGATTCAGCAATCCCATTACTGGGTGTATACCCAAAGAAATAGAAATCATTCTATTACAAAGATACATACACGCGCATATATCTCTGGAGACAGGATATCTTCTGGGAATTCAATTTTATTATTATTATATATTGAGAAGATTGAAGGGCTTGGGAAACTAAATTCTAGGGCCTATGATGTCTTTAGATGGGTTGAACCAGTGCTTGGCAGATCTGTGAGTTCCATGAGGTCATGCCTAGAAGAAATCATGTCATGCCGAGAAGGAATCTTACTGACCATCCCATTGTTCTGACAGCAGTAAAAGCCAGAGAAGGCAAGTGAGTGGTCCAAGGTTGCACAGCAGTAACATTAATTCCTTGAATGTATTTTAGACTTTAGAATCTACGGAATATGTCTCTCTTCATTTTCTCATCCACAAAATAGAGAGAGAAGTGTGCTATTATCACGGAAGTAAACACATCATGTTACATGGAGGAAACTATTGGTAGTAATGTTTTGAACATTTACAGCACACAGACGGTACAGCACTCTCACATGAATGGACTTGGATGTGTAGAACTGCCCTATACTGTTTGTTCTGTCTGTGGCTTACAGTAGGAAGCTGAGGCTCCAAGAAGTGAAGGCTGCTTAAGACTGTAAAGTGGGCGAGCAGGAAACTTTGGCATGAATTCCAGCTCCTGACCCTGCTCTATTTACCAGTTGTGGGGTCTCCTGCAACAGTATCTTTATGTTCTCCTGTCCTCAGTATCTTTGTCTGTAAAATAGGGAAATGATAGCGCAGGGAATCTTCCTTCTCTGAGTATTTATTACGTCATTCTCTGGAGGTAGGACCACTGTGTTGAGAAGAAAAAGTCATAGGAGATACAATTTTTCAAAAACAGATTGATTACATGTAAAATTAGCTCCCACTCCAAGCCCCTCCCTACTCAACACTGCGTGCATGTCAGGACTGTGCCTCCTCTCATGGAAACATCGTTGTGAGTGTCTTTATTTGGGTTTCCCTGAAAGCAGAGCCTGAATCCAGGACTTGGAGGCAGGTGGTTTGGGGGTGATGCTGAGAGGCTGGGATGGGGAAGAGGGAGAAAGACACTAGCCCTGCAGGAGGGCAACCGAGAGAGTGAGTTACGGAGCTGGGTGTCCCTGTGGACAACTGGCACCCAATATCACTGGAGACTCTCTGAAGGACTGGGTAGACTAAGTCTGAGAATTGTCTCATGAAGGAGGAGAGGTGGGGATATGCCTGCAGTGGGCAGGTAGCATTCCATGTTTATAGAGAAATCTGAGGCGGAGAAGAGGAAAGGGTTTTGGAAGCCCAAAGTGGGATTCGGTGTGAGTGGTACTGTCTTGCACCACTGCCCTGAGGTCAGGCAGCTGGGCAAGGAGGGGTGGAGCCCAGAGACCCTCTGCTATAGGAGGTTGGTCTTGCCTTGGTTGAAGTGTGGCCAACCTCACACCATCTTGTGCAAATAGCATCCACATCCATTGCAAAGTACAATCTGAGATCTTGCAAAAAGTTATATTACAGGAAGTTGAGCCCACTGATATTGGGGAGCTGCAGGGATCACAGGCAAAGCCTTTGAGTGTTAAAAATGGAATCATAATAATAAGAAAAAATTCATGATGATAATAATACTGTGGGCACTTCAAAAGAGAGCACATTGGTTAAAAGAGGCCCCTATGAAAATTGATAGAACACTCAAATAATTTCAAATAATTTTTCAAAATTATGTTTTAATGATTGTGCTGTAAATGTGAGATTTGAAATGAAGAATTTGTTGGTATGATAGCATAAATTCTCAGGAAAAAATGATGCCAGCTTCCGTCCCCTCCCAAAACTTACTCTTCTAAGAGTTGGTGCCTCTCTGCAATTATATTCTATATTTATATACAAATATAAATTAAGTAACATTATTTTTTAAATATAAATGCTTTTCAAGATGAAGTTCCAACCAATTCATTTTTACAATCTCTATGAAATTGAGGGCTGATTTTGTATGGGCTCCTTCTAAGCGGTACTTTTTTTTTTTTTTTTTTTTTTTTTGATACCAAGAAGCTTCAGCATTCACCTTATTTTGTTTTTTGGGAATTAAATGAGAAAACGCATGCACACCGCCTCAAACATTGACATTCGGTGGATGGGAGCAGTTGTCAGTAGCTGTGCTCAGACCTTTGTCCTCCCAGCACTGGCCCTGATGCCGCATAGCCAGGAAAACTCACTGGGGGTTGAAATGGGCCATCTCAGCCTCTTATCCTTTTTATTTGTTATTTCTTGTCCTTGCCACCTAGAACCCATGACAATTGCTTGGGGGCCCCTTACCCTGCCTTGTTCTCCATGGGCACCCCCCAGCTGCCAGGCCTTCAACACCTGGAGTCTTCAACACCAGGCCTTGCTCTTTGCATGGTGAGATCCCTGTGCTCTCCCTGTGTGCTGACGAAGAAAGACTAAGTGAGGCAATAAGCTCATGGAGGGTGTCAGCCTCAGCTGCCATTAGCAACATCATTGATGGAATTTTATAAGTCTGGGCAGGTTGAGGGTGAGAAAAGATTATGTGGGAATTGGATTCTTGTAACTCCTTCACATTGCGCTACTGAAAGAGTTGCTTCCTCTACCCTAGACCAAGAGCTGAAATCTCTCTTAACTAGACCCATGAGAGCTGATCTGACCTCAGAGACTTTCATAGTTTTAGAGTCTTAGAAACAGAGGGAAAGTGACTAGCATCAGATCTTGCAGTTGGCTGTGGTATCAGAGCAAGGACCAGAATCCAGATCTCCCAGCCCTCGGTTTAGTGTTAGAGCTGCACCATGTTGTGTGTTCATAAGAAGTCTACTAAATAATTTAGTGTTTTGTAGGATTTCAAATTTGTCCAATTTTCCTTATTGTGAATACATTCTATTGCATAGCTTAATATCTGGCTGAAAAATATTCTAGAAGTCATTAGATCATAATTTTGGAAGCCTAGAATCATAAATGCTTATAGCCTTATAGTTTGGGTCTTAGAATAGCATAAAGGTAAAGCCTACTGTCTCTGCTGTAATCCCAACTTTGCTACTTATGACCTTGGGCAAGTTACTTGACCTCTCTAATCTGAAGTTCCTTCCTATGAAAAATCTTAGTATCTTGGATTCTAAGACTTAGAGTCTATGAATCTTCAGATCTTGAAATTATCTAGTCATAGAGTGAGTTAAATGATTTGTCGCTTCTTCACTGGCATTCATACCTCATCTTTCCATCTTTAATGGCCAAAGTGAAAAAGAAAAAGATTAGGTGGCTTTCATCAACCCCATCCATCCATCCATCCAAGCATGCATTCGCTCATGAATTTGCACTGTCATTCAATCATGCATTTCTTTATGTGTGCATTTGTTAACTAATACCTTAGTATTCCTCTGTGGCAGGCTCTGGTTATGCCCGAGGCAGATGACTCCATCATGAAGGAGCTCCCAGGCACTTACAGAGGGCTTCCCACAATAATCGTTTGCTTTCTCTGGGCTTTCAGTTCCCCCTGCAGTGACAGTGTCCCAGTCTTCCACCTCCTCCAGCTTGGTGGCTGTTACTTGCCTCGTGCAGAGATTCTATCCACAAAACGTGCACCTCACCTGGCTAGAGGACTGCCGTACACGCAAAGGCACTGATCAGCCCACATCCAAGAAGAATGATGATGGGTCCTACACCCTGGAAAACGTGCTGCTGGTGAATGCATCAGTGCAGGGGCTTGAGCGGGTGATCACCTGCATGGTGGAACACGACGGACAGCTTCCCAAACGGGCCAACCTCATCCTGTCCACGGCAGCCCACACCACATATAAGCTCATTGGGAGCACAGGTAAGTTCACCTCTTCTGAGAGTTCCTGGGGTCACTTCTGTATCCTGAGTGGATTTCAGAAGGTACTGGAAGGAGGGGGAGCTTGATAATCAATGAGATCTTATCCCCCCTGAGAGTCTGCGATTCCTTAAATAACCAGAATGGTTTCTGGCCAGTGGATTCCTTTAAATCTGCCCATCCTAAACTTGCTTTAATTTCTATGGAAAGAGTGATTGCCTGGCTCAATCTCCTTCAAAATTCCCAAGAGAGAGTTCAGCTTAGTGCACTCACTTACTACTGGTGCTTCTGAGATGGCTGTCAGCAAGGCTCTCTTGTTTAAAATATTTGTTTCAGTTATATGGAGGTGAGCTTGCCTGTACACAAAACTTACTTGCATGATGTCTGTTCCAGCGATAGAATAGGCTCTTCCACTTGATTCTTGCACAAACAGTGCACCTCTGTGTGCTTCAGTCTGTTCATCTGTGGACAGCATCTAATAAAGTTTCCTAATTCATAGTCTTTATGAAGATTAAATGAATTAACACATGTAAACTTTACATATGGTCTATAATAAATGTCAACTATTGATACTACTATTTGAATTCAGGTAAGATTATTGTAAAATTTAGTTTCCAGTAGTTATGGCTTTGTAAACTTAGGCAGCTGAGTTAATTATCTTCCCATAACCTCAGTTTACTCATCTAGAAAATGGTGCTAATGATACCAAACTCTGAAGATTGCGGCAAAGTTATGTTGAATGACCACAGGCCTTTGGGACATGGAGGTGATTATATGATACTTGGGTTTGTACCTCTAAAGCTTTGTACAGTGGCTAGTATGTGTCAGATATTCAAATCAGCATTTGTTGAGCCAAATTCAAGGTGAGCCTTTCAGATCAAGGTCATCTCTTATTTCCAAGACAGAACTAAATGTAGATAAAAGACAGGGATTTCGAATCAGAATCAAATGCAACCTGAAGGCTCTGGAACTTCTTGGCTACATGACCTCAGAGAGGGCATTTAAACTCACAGAGCCCCCATGTGATCGCTCCTTCTACCCCTTGGCATTTAGGTACAGAGATGCCTGCCCTGATCTTTGCGGTTTTCCTCCTGGGCCCCAAGGTGCTGCTGGTGATGAGTTTCACAGTGACCTACATCTGCAGGAGGTAGAATCTGTGACAGGTGAACACAGGATGGGCCTTAATCTTTGGGACTGGGTGACAGGTTGGCAAGAGGCCTATAGGGCAAGCCCACAAAGTCACAGGTGCCCTCAAGGGTGCCCTCAAGCTTCAAGGGAAGGTTGGGGACACCTTTTGTTTTCTCCAAATGTTTTGTGGAATTCCCAGAGTCTTTCAACTCTGTGCGTTGTGTAGTACCCTGGAGGTGGAAGGGTTTCAAATTCCATTTTCTGGGGCCCTGGAGATGGAGGCAGGGGAATCCAAGGTGTAGGAGTGGTATGACTGTTGAGACCCAAATTCCAGAGTCCCCTAATACACTGTTACATGTTTCCTTTTTCATAGGATATATTTTGGGGACGCATAAGGAAAGTATTGCTAAAATCAATTAATAGAACCTATTCACGGGACTTGGAGGTTCTGACTAGTGGCAAAGATGAATGTGGTTATGGGAGAGAGTTTAGAACCCAAAAAGTGGTGTTGGGGTGTAATGAGTAGGGGCTTTATTTCTGATCTGTGCCAAGAATCCAGACCAAGCAGAATACCTGCCATATAGTAGGTGCTCAATAAATATTTATGAAATTAATACATGAATAAACAAATGTGAATGAACGATTATTTTTCTCTACAGCTCCTGCATGCAGAAACATTAACCTCCAGCCCTCTCCAAGGGCTTCAAGTGGGGAGAAGCTGCAGGGACTTACAGGTGACTAAAGACGCTTCAGTTCATCCCTGCCACCCCCTCATGGACACGCTCCCTTCTGTACACCCTCCCGGTGTTCCTTTCCTCAGACCTTTGGAGCTGAGTCAGGGACAGATTTTCATCATGAGGACTCCAGGGATGTCTTGATTCTGATGTACTGAGCTTCAGATTGGCCCTGCTTCTACCCAAGAGAATCAAACTGATAAAGAAAAGAAGTTTCCATTCTGCCCCTGGTCATGAACAATCCTTAATTTTCAGAGCAGTTTTTACTTTTGAGCAGGGCTTTTGAAAGTATGATTTCATTTGAACACACATGTATTTTGAAATCACTGGTAAGTTGCATAAGCATTTTTCTCTTCTGAAATGTACAAAAGAATACAAACAATACGCATGGACCTACTTTCTAAAATATTAACATTTTGCCATCATGTTCTTCAGTTCTTTTCTTTAAAAAAAAAAAACAACACTGTTCTGAATTTGGTGTTTATCATTCTCAAGCATGATTTTATACCTTTAAAACATATGTGTAAATCCTTAAGCAATGTATAGGATTAGTTTTCATATTTTTAACATTATATAAATGCTATGATACTGTACACAGCATTCTAGAACTTTATTTTTTATGCTTAACATAGTTTGCGAGGTTTATTCCTGTTGATATATGAAGTCACATTTTATTAATTTCCCACTGTTCTGTGGTCTTCTATTGTAAGCCTATGCTACAGTTTATCGATTCTTCTCACGATGTTGAAGCTTCATTCAGTGTTTTGCTCGTACAACTTTGCACAAACATTCTTATATTTGTTTCCTTGGGCGTGTGTGGGAGACTTCATCTTGTTCCTCTAGCTTGGCGCACAAAGCCACAGTACTGGTACGATTTGGAAGCTTTTGTTATGTAAGAACAAGTTTCTAATTATTGCTCAAGTTTAACTTTTTCCATTTATGCCTTTCATCTCACTATCTATCTCTATATATAATTTTTTGAATGTTTATTGCATTTTTTAAATCGTTACCTTTTAGTAAGTTAGAGAGTTAAGGAGTTTTCCTTCCTTCTATTCCAATATTAACATATTTTAAAATCAAACAAAATAAAAAGCATCACCAGCAGACTTGAATGATAAGAAATATTAGCAGACACCCTTCAGGCACAAAGAAAGTGACACCAGGTGTAAATCTGGATCCATACAAAAGAATAAAGAACAGAAAAAGTAAATAGATGCATAAATTTAAAAGACGTTTAAACGAAACGCTGTAAATGGTAAGTGAATGTTTAAAGCTAAAAATAATAATGCAATGTGGGTGTTATGATAATAATGCATCAATATCATACAATACGTGGAACAACGGCACCAAGGTTGGGAGAGGGAATTGGATGTACGCTACCGGAGTGTTCACACGTTGGCTTTTTCAGGATCGCTGTATACTTTTATATTTTTTTCATGTTGTCTTTTATGTCATTTACAAACAGCTTTATAAACCTTGTGCATTTTTATCAAATTTATCTTTTTAAGACTTAAATGTAAGATTTGGAACTATAAAAAGAAGAAAACTTGGAAAAAGCTCTTCCAAGGCAGAGTCTCACTCCATCGCGCAGGCTAGAGTGCAGTGATGCGATCTTGGCGCACTGCAACCTCCGCCTCCTGGGTTCCAGCAATTCTCCTCCCTCGTCTCGCAAGGAGCTGGGATGACAGGTGCTCACCACCACATCTCACTATATTTTCCTGGTGGTGTGTGTGCGCACGTGTGTGTATGCATTATAGATGGTAGGAATCTTATGTTTTCTTTCTTTAAATAGGTGGGGGGAATCTTATCTTTTTTCTAGAAGGGTCAATTATCCAGCACTCCCTGATGTGCACGCCACCTTTGCCGTATAGCGAGTGTCTATAAATCTGTGGTTGCTTTGATGAGCTCTTTGTTCCGCTGATCTGCTTGTCTAGCTCTCTGTCAATACAGGCAAATTAAACTGTGCTTCCCTTTGCTGCACCTCACAGATACTGCGTTTTTCACAAATTGACGGTTTGTGGCAACCCTGCGTGAAGCAAGTCTGTTGGTGCCCCGTTCCCAATAGCTATGCCCACTCCGTGTATCTGTCACATTTTGATAATTCTTGCAATATTTCAAATTCTATATCTGTTACGGTGATCCGTGATTAGTGAACTCTGATGATATTATTGTATTGGTTTTGGGGATCCATGAACCATGCCCACATGAAACAGCACACTTGGAAAAACGTCTTGCGTGTTCTGACTGCCCCACCTACTGGCCGTTCGCCCATATTGCGCCCTCTCCTCAGGCCCCCATATTTTCCCTGAGACAGACAGGAAGACACATTGGCCTGAAATTAGGCCAGTTAATAACCCTGCAATGGCCTCTTAGTGCTCAAGTGAAAGCGAAAGTTGCAAATTTCTCACTTTAAATCACATCTAGAACATGAAGCTTGGTAAAAAAAGATTTGCCCAAAGCTGAGACAGGCTGAAAGCTAGCCCTCTTGCACCAAACACTCAGCCAGTTGTGAATGCAAAGGAAAAGTTTTTGAAGGAAATTAAAAATACTACTCCAGTGAGCACATGAATGGTAAGAAAGCAACACAGTCTTATTGCTGATATGGAGCAGAGCTCTCAATAGATGATCAGGCTAGCCACCACATTGCCCTGCAATACCACCGAGGTATGCTGGTACCTGTCTTAGCATAGCTGTGCCGTATGTTTTGACATCTTTCGGGCAAATCATCTCACCGTTCCTTATCCAAAATTGTTGTTAACAATTCTTGACCCAAATGAATGTTAGACTCACTTTGTCAAGTTTCATGAAAAATACTTTTAGATTTATTATTTGATTCCATGGAATTCATATATTATTTTGGAGAAATTGACTTTTTCTCAGTATTGAGTCTTCCATTTATGGATGTAGTATACCTCTATTTATTTAGGTTTTATTTTATGAAGTTCAGCTT